CTCCTGGAGCGCCCATGAATTGCTTTTGAGGAGATGACAAAAATCGGGGGCCACCTCTTTGCAGCGTTTTGGCAACCAGCCGGACCCAGGCCATGCCAACACCACACAGCAGTCACTGCTGCAGCAATCTGAGCCCTTCAAGCTCTAACCCGGCCTGGGAGCAGGGCAGGGATGGTGCAGGTCAGCGCTGCCGCCAGGACCACAATGGAACAAGGCAGCGGGGATGCTGATGGACACAACAGGGCTTCCCCACAGCTGGGTGACCCAGCAGCTGTGTCTCAGGGCCTGGAGTGTCACGGCTTCATTGGAGAGCAGGACTTAGGTACTGGGATGGCTGGAAAGATAACTGCCTTCTTCCCAGCTGGCATCGACAAGCAGGTGTTCGCCAGATGAGCAGTACATTACCTTCGTTTCTTAAGAGGCCACTCTGGCGTCTCGCAGCAGGAGGATGCTGTGCTGGACTGTGGGGACACACTCAGATACCTTCTCTTCACCTGTAACAGAGAGACCAATAGTAACTGATTTGGTTCAGGGGAGCACAGCCTCCTATTCTCCTGTTCACCACAGAATAAATACCATCTCCCAGGTGCTGGCTGCCAAGCCCAGAGCCTCTCTTGCTTCAACGCTGCTCAGCTCCCCTTCAGAGCATCCACGGAGGGCAAAGTATGAGCACCCCAAACTGAATCCACTCTGAGAGCAAGTGGCCTCCAGGCTCTTTATGGCTGAGGTGACAGAAAGACACAGCTGGCCAAGCCAGAGCAAACCCTTCACTACTGATCCATCCTGGAGAAAACCTTTCCCTGCACAGCTGCAGAGCTCCATTAGCCATGACTAAGCCATCGTGTAATGGCACAATCGGCCATTACAGCTGAGCAGGTGCTGAGGAGACCCACATCAAAGTGGGAACACAGGGATCCCACACGTGCTGCTGCCTCCAGCTGAAAAGGTGTCCGCACAGCAGAGATTTTGTCTTTCCTTTTCCTCTGGATGTATCCCCCAGCAGACTGACCGGGGCACAGTGCAGAGGGGAAAAGAGCTGTATGCTGGGCTCCGGGGCTGCCTTAGGCAGGACATTTCCTACCTGTGGGAGTCCGCGGGTTGAGCTGTAAGAGCTGGCGATCGCATTGCGCGCAGAACCTGGGATGCCTGCAGTGTATGTTTTGCTAGGAGAAGAGATGTTCGATTTTGAGCACTCCTCTGGGTGGTGCGAGTCAAGGTCCCTCTTCATAGCCTCAGGCCTAGAGGAGGTTAAAGATTTCATGAGTTCCCCACAGGCCATTTCAATGCAGGGTGGGTGGAAGAAAGCAACCCCACTCCTCCTTACAGTGCAGCACTTAGAAACAAGCCTCAGCAGCAGCACAGCCTTTAGAGCCACCACCTGTGCTCAGGGTGACAGACCAAAGGCACAGCCACAGGCTCCCATGATCTCCCCAAAGCTGGGTTCCCCAAGACAAAGGCAAGCACCCTTCCCAGAACCTACAGGTTTTGGACTCCTCACCCCCAGCTCACAGAGTTGCTTTTGCCCTGAAGTACTTACTTGGGTACAAGAGAAGCAGGGGCTCCGTTTGCTTCTGGTGTCTTTATAGCCAACTGCCCACTTTCACTGCTGCCACAGCGCCTGCGGGAGAGAGGGCACAAGTCTGTGGTAGCATGGAGGGCTCTCAGCCCAGTGAGAGGACCCTTTTCCAGGCAGGCTCAGCACTGGAAAGCACAAACCTTGCTTTTTTCCTGCTACCCAGTATCCAGGACAGAGTTTTCCCCCATCCGCATCCTTCTGCAGGTTCTTTCTCTACCTGGTCCTGTCCCCACTGCCTCCCAGCCAAACTGCCTCCTTCCAAGCACCTGCACCACCTGCCTGCTGGTCAAATCCGTTATTTGAAGCCAAAATACTTCAGAGAGACTCAACAGCTTGTTTCTAGAAGAGACCTGACCTCTGAAACTCCTATCTCTGACTTCTTCCTAACCAGTGCCCCAGAATGCTGGGAGGAAGAAGCTGATCCCCTTCCTACCATGACTCAGTCAGGAGCTGAAGTCTGAAAGTCCTACAGCAAACCTGCTGTGAAGCTGGGCTGGAGGTGCATGATCTGCCTTGTCACTTAGCCCAGGTGCTTCCCTGGAGCTCCGAGCATGCTGGTCCCAGCGCATGGGCGATCCTGAGCTCACCAGGTGACCTTGTCTTCTTTCTGCTCTCAGATGTTGCAGGATTTGCTGCCTAAAATCATTCCATGCTTGTCAGACAATAATGCCTTCAAACTGGATTTTGTGGCAGAGCTGTGCATTGGCACATTGAAAGAAATGAAATAAAAAACCCAAGCTTATGCTGTCTGTGCACCCATCCTGTTGCTGTCCTGCTCGGCTCCTGCAGGCTGCAGATTCACCAAGCCAAGGGTTCAAGGGCAGAGGGAAGCTCAGCAGTGGCAGACAGAAGGGCAGGCCCTGCCATGCAGGAGCCCCGTGAACCACCACTCATCCCACTGCACTCTCTGGGCCACCTCTAGCAGCAGCCCCAGTGCAGCACGCAGGACAATGCACCAGGTACTGCCCAGTTCCGCTTCTCCAGCCCAGGCAGGCAGCAGCAGCACACAGGGAGCACAAGGTAAACAGCCTTCGTGTCCACAAGGATTAAAACCAGGAGGGGAGAATGGCGAGGCAGCAACATGCCTGGGCAGACAGAAAGGCTTCCACACACCTTAGCACCCAGGATTTACACCTCGTTCTTCCCAGAGCACTGGGAAAGACACTGGGCCCTTATTACTTTGAAGTCAAAGCTGGAAGCCACTGACCTGGACTAACAAAAGCAAAAAATAGTTTTTCTTGTTTACCCTTGTGTTTGTACCTCCTTTTGCTAGCTACAGCACACAAAGGAAGTGCACGGCTTGCTTAAAGGGCACTGCTTCCACCTGGGGAGGTAAGACTCAGGGATCCTGTCACTCCTGGTCTGACTGAAGGATAGAGATAACAAGTCTGCAGGGCATCCCAGCATTTCCCAGCACGTTTCCCCAGTCTGTGAATCCCTGTGATGACAGAAGCCACTTCCCCCACCAGCTCAAGTACAGCCAAGCTTACTCAAACCACATCCCAGCCTCTTCCACCCTCAGCAATGAAGGGAAACACACTTGACCCACAAGCTTGCCCAGACAAAACCCTAAACCCGCTAATCTCAAGGGCAAAACAAAGTCCAGGAGAAATTCCCGACACAGCCCAGAGGCCCAGGTGATGGGATGGCTGTGCTTCTCTCTGCAGTTCACTTCCAGCAGCATTTTCCCACCCACTCCTGGTCACATCCCGTTTGCCACCACTGAAGCACTAGCCCCATTTAGACCTTCCCACCTCACTTGCAGTGACCTGGACTGCTGGCTCATTACCTCCTCTTGTTGTCATGATCACTTCCCAAAGCCTGGTTGTCCTCCTGCTGCAAGGGCCTCTTCCTGCACTCCTTGATGGCACTGAGCACAGTCTCTTTGGCGCAGGGGTCTGGGCTGCTTTTGTCCTGGAAGTTCCTAGCTAAGATTTGTTGCGTCAAGCTGCGGGTCAAAGCAAAGCAGTGCAGGGCATCAGGCAAGCTGCGATCCACAAAGCGAGATCCCCCACCAAGGCCCGGGTTTTCCCCCATAAAGGGGGCCGGGCTCCTGGTGCCGCCTCCGCGGGGGGTTGGGGTCGCACCCCACCGGCTGCCGCCCCCAGGGAGCTGCTGCAGGGCCAACGGGCCCTAGTCCAGATCCCCCCTTTAGTCCCATCAAGGTGCAGTTCTCCCGGCGCTGCCCTCCCCGTACTCACGCAGGAGAGCGAGACAGGCCGGCAACCTTAACAGTCACGGGGCTCCGGAGCGGGGCTGGGCGTCGGGCCCATGGCGAGCCCCTGGGCATCTGACTGCCCCAGCGTACCGGCGGGAACACGGTCCCAGGGCTCCGATCGGGCGGCAGCGGGTACCGGCGGCGCACGGTCGGCGGCGGGGCCCTGTGGGGACACAACGGTCAGCGCCACCGTTAGCGGCGGGAGGATCCGATCCTGTCCTCCCCCCAGCGCTCACTCGAGGTAGTAGCGGCGGGACACGGTGCTTTCAGCACTGCCGGTGCCTGCGGCCGGGCAGCCATTAGCGGCAGATCTGCCGTACGGGCGGCGTGCGGGAGGGTGCGGAGCGGGCAGGCGCGGGGCGGGCGGGCTGGGCCGCAGGGAACACCACGCTCCCGCCGCGCCCAGCGCCGCGCCCAGCGCCGCGCTCAGCACCGATTCCTGCAGCATCAAGTAGGCCAGCGCCACGATGAGCGCCACGGCCAGCGCCTGCAGCCAGCGGCCCGCATGCGGGCCCGGCACCGCCATCCTTAACCAGCGCCAAGGTAAGGGCCGCCGGCCCGGAATGCACCGCGGGAGCCGCGCGCGGCGGGGCGGGGCCACGGCGGGGTGGGCGGGGCCACAACTTCCCGCCTCCTGGAGGCCACCCGTGGCCTTACCCCACCCGCGGCCTTGTGCCGCTCATGGGATGCTGCTGCCCGGTCCCTGCAGCTTCCACAGCCCTACTGTGTCCGGCCGGGGGGGCACCGTGGCAGGGACGAGCACACAGAACGCGATTCCCCTGCCAGGAGCAAAAGGGGCCTTAAAGCTCCTCCAGCTCCAACCCCTGTCACTGGCAGGGACCCCTTCCACTGGAGCAGCTTGCTCCAAGCCCCTGTGTCCAACCTGGCCTTGAGCACTGCCAGGGATGGGGCAGCCACAGCTTCTCTGGGCACCCTGTGCCAGTGTCCCACAACCCTCACAGGGAAGAATTTTTTCCTGATATCTAATCTACCAATGCCTCCAGAGCACAGCAGAGGGGGAGCCTCATGATGAGTTTGCAGCTGTCTGCACTGATGCTGGTGGGGTGGAGATGTCTCTGTTTCACCTTCCCCAGCTGCTAAGCTGCATCTTCACTCATCTCTGCTTATCTTGCTCTTGGAACAGGACTGATCTCCCACCTGTGTTTCCCAGGCCAGGTCTGTGCTGCTGTGTGGGAAGGTGGTAGGATGGCTCGGAGGATGAGCATCCATGAGCTGGAGGACCAGCTACTTTGTCCCATCTGCTTGGAGGTCTGCAAAGAGCCCCTGATGCTGCAGTGTGGGCATTCGTACTGCAAGTCCTGCGTGGTGTCACTCTCTGGGGAGCTGGATGGGCAGTTCCTGTGCCCTGTGTGCCGCCAGATGGTGGACTGCAGTGCCTCGTCACCCAACGTCACACTGGCCCGTGTCATCGAGGCGCTGCAGAACCTGTGTGAGGCAGAGCTGAGCCCGGAGTCCTGCCCAACACACCACAACCCCCTCAGCCTCTTCTGTGAGGCTGACCAAGAGGTGATCTGTGGGCTGTGTGGCCCCATTGGCAACCACCGCCAGCACAAGATCACCCCCATCTCTACTGCATACTGCCAGATGAAGGTCTGCAGGCAGAGCCAGCTGCAGCTCCTGGGGTGGGGGTTAGGGCACCTGAAGAGCTTACCGGCCAAATGTGCCCTCTCCTTCAAGAGACAGGCTGGAAATGATGCCAGGGCAGGGAGCACAGTCCCATGGCACAGCCAGATGTGGGGCAGGGTCCCTGGCCTCGGGGCAGCTGTTTCTTAGGCTAAGCATGTCCCTGGCTGAGAGGACCCCCAGTTTCAGTGACTGCACCATAATGGGCAGGCCTTGGGATCAGGGAGTGTCAGTGGGGCCTTTCAAGACTGTTTACAAACATCATAAAAAAAGAGTCTGAAGATAAGGGCTGGGGTAAGGAGAGCCCCATCTACACTTTCCAGGCAGAGTTCCAGGGGCAGCTCTACCCCATAGTGGACCTGTGCTGGCCTGAGCGAGGGCCCTATTCCCCTCCCATCATCCTGCCTGTGCCCACTGCGAGCAGGCACCCTCAGGTGCTGAGCAGCCATCCTGTCCCTGAGGAACCCACAAAGCCATAGCCTGGCCAGCGGGATGAGGCTTTGGCTGCAGCAAGCTGCATGCAAGCTTGTGCTCACACGGGAGCTGTAGTACTGCAGGGTAATGTTTAGCAGCATAAAATATCAGCCTTGCCCTCTGAATTCCTGTCCCCAGTTTGGCAGGCTGAGCCCAAACCCTAAGACATGGCTGGCCTGCAGAAATCTCCCAATGGAAAGGGGTGCCTGCCTGAAAAGTGTGAGCCATGAGCATCTGGGGGCTTTGCTGCTGCGCCTTTCCTCTGAATAAATGTGCTAAATGACGTGCTTGCTGGCTTACATGAGTAATGTCTCTGAGGTGCAACAGCAGCCAGAGAAGAGGGGGTGGCTGTTCCTTAACGCTAGATGAGCTTTAAGGCTCCTTCCAACCCAAACCATTCAGTGATTCTATGAATATTCTTGCACATGTTGTCCCCCAGACCAAGCAGGGCACCCAGATGTGCTTTTCCACAGGGTTCTCGCACCCTCCAGCTGTTCAGGCATGAGGCACCTTTCCTCAGCACCAGCACCCGCTCTGCTGACTCCTGACTGCAGCCAAACCTTGCCAAGCAGCTCTCGGGTTGCAGCAGTTGCTGCTTGTCTGTCGGTCCTCATGTGCTTGGTGTTGGTCTCACTTAAGTCACTTACCTGTGATGCCAGACAATGCCAAGAGCATACCCAAGCCATGGCATAGGAAAAGCCGTGCTGTGGTTCCTTATCCTCATGGACAGCACTAAGCTTCCCAGGAGGGTAATCTTTCCTTCCATGGCCAAGCTGTCCTTTAATCACAGAATCACAGACTGGTTTGGGTTAGAAGGGACCATAAAGCTCAGCCGTAAAGCTTTTCCCATAAAGCCAGGCCATGATGAGCAGAGAGAGGGACCTGAAACCGGAGCAACTTCATCTGGTGGAAGATATCCCTGCCCAGGGCAGAGCGGTTGGACAGGATGATCTTCAAAGGTCCCTTCCAGCCCTCACCACTCTCTGAGTCTCTGAAACCATGAGCCACAGCACAATGGCCGCACTGGGGCACACTGAGGTGCAGCCACCTCTCTGTGCTGTCCTCACCACGGCCAAAGCTGGAAGGGACAGCTCAGAAACAGCCCAATTGCTGAGGAACAGCCCCAGCGGGCTGGGGGCTTCCTGCCTGGAGGCCACACCTGCACCTTCCCCTTCAGCTCCCCCAGGAGCACAGCGCCCTCCGGCAGCATCTCCAGTTCTGGGGTGATCGGCACTGCCCGGCCCTGCCCTCACGGCTGCCCTCCCTTCCAGCCACCTGGCGGGTACCTCAGCCCAGCTCTCTCAGCCTGGCTCCAGAGCAGAGCTGCTCCAGCCCCCGCAGCAGCTCCGTGCCCTCCTCTGGCCTCGCCCCAGCACCTCCCCGTCCCTCTCGCTCTGGGTTCCGTTTGTTTCTCTGCTTCACCAACATCCCGAAAGTCCCCGCCCGCCTCCTCCCCGGCCGAGCCGCGGGCTCTAGGACCTGCCCGTCCTTGCCCGCTGCGGGGCGGGACGCGGCACCGCCGGAAGTGCCGTGTGCGCAGGCGGGGCGGGAGCCATGGCGCTGTACAGCGCGGCCGCCGCCGTCCTGGAGGGGCTGGAGCGCGGCGCCGGCGGCGTGAAGGCGCTGGTGTACCACAGCCGGTTCCCGGTGCGCGGGGCCGGGGCGAGGCGCGGGAGGGGCGGGGCTGGGCCCGGGGCGGGGCTGTGCGGGGCGTGTGCGGGGTTGGGGCGGGCTCGGGCCCGGTCCGTGCCCCCGGGCAGCCCCTGACCGCCCCGCAGCACGTCCGGCAGCTGTACGCGCTGGTGTCCGAGACGCTCCGCTACTCGCCGGTGCTGGAGGAGCTGCTGGCCGGCGCCGCGCTGCTGCAGGCCGAGAAGAAGCTGTCCCCGCAGCTGGCGAAGGTGAGCGGGGCCAGGCGGGGGCGGCGGCGGGTCCCGGGGCGGCGGGTCCCGGCTGAGCCTTGTCCCCGCAGGTGCTGGTGTACGACCTGCTCTTCGGCAAGGGCTTGAAGTGCGGGGGCCGCTGGAAGGCGCTGGCCCGGCGGCACCGGGCCCGGCTGGAGGCCGAGCTGGCCCGCCTGAAGGTGCGGCAGAAGGTGAGCCGCAACGAGCACCTCCTGGCCCCGGCGCAGGCAGCCGGCCCCGGCGGTGAGTGGGCCTCTGGGCGCGGTGGTGTCGCTGTGGTGGCGGCAGTGGGTGGCCGTGTGTGACCCGGGCGGCTCCCCCAGCGTCCCAGGTACCGCGCTACGTCCGGGTCAACACCCTGAAGACGTGTGTGGATGACGTGATTGACTTCTTCAAGCGGGAGGGCTACTCGTACCTGGGCAAGGCAGCCAGGTAAGCATTTCTTCCTGCTGCCCCACCTTATCTGGGCTGTCAGTGAGCAGCAAGGGCTTGGGATGAGGTCCTGTGGGTCAAGGGGTAGTTGGTCTCGGTGCTCAGGGTGCCTGGGTTGGGATGTCCCCACTCCCGTGTTCTGCCCTTCCTTGCACTGCCTGGCACTGAAGGAGAGAGGAGACGTGGGACACAGAGGGCGTCAGCCTGGGCTCTGCAGAGCTCTGGTGGGGGCAGGATGAGGCAGGACCACGTGTTCATCATCCCTGTGCCTCGTGCGCAGTGTGGAAGAGCTGAGGGCCCTCTCCGGGAAGAAATTCGTGTTGGACCTTCACCTTCCGGAGCTGCTGGTTTTCCCTCCGCAGACAGACTTGCATGAGAACCTGCTGTACACTTCAGGACACATCATTCTGCAGGACAAGGTGGGCAGCTGGTGGCAGGAGGCTGCAGCTGGGGAATCCCCTGACATGGGTGGAGGGAAAGCTTCTTCCCACATGCCAAGGGCTGTGCTCCTGCTTTAATGCAGCAGAGAGCGTGAATGCAGCCGGGAGCTCTGGGGCTGCCCTGTGGCTCTGCTTCCGCCACATGTACGGATGGGGGTATTGCTGTGAACTGGGCTGTAACCCCCCGCAGGAACCGGCACCAGCTCTGGGAGCAGTGGGAGGCTGCGGCTGGGCAGAGGCTCCTGGCAGTGGGTGCTGGTGGACTTGTCCCCTGCTGCTGTGGCTGCCTGTGGCCCCACGGTGTCAGCCATGGCTGAGGAGGGGCAGGGGCTGCTTCTTGCCCCCTCCGCTCACAGGGCTTTGTCCTCCCGCAGGCCAGCTGCCTCCCGGCCTTCCTCCTCAACCCTGCTGCTGGCTCCCACGTCATCGATGCCTGCGCTGCGCCTGGGAACAAGACCAGCCACCTGGCAGCCATCCTGAAGAACAAGGGGTGAGGGCAGGGCTGTGTGGTGCTTGCTTTTCCCTGGGTAGGCTGGTGGCCTGGGGAGGGTGCAGGGGGATGTGGGATCACACATCCGTAGCCCCTGGTCCCTCTCCCTGCCCAAGACCTGCCCCGGCTGGGGGAGCAGCTCCCAAGCACTGCCTGGCTGGCCGATGGCCGGTGCGTGATCCTGCCAGGGCAGCGCGTTCTTGAGGCCGTGTGGGATCTTCACACGTCTCTTGGGCACGGGGCTCTGCCTTCAGCCAGATCTTTGCCTTCGACGTGGACACCAAGCGCCTGGCCACCATGAACACCATGCTGATGCGCGCTGGTGTCACCGGTTTCCAGCTGGCCCAGCAGGACTTCCTGACGGTGGATCCTGGAGACCCCAAGTACAGCAAGGTGGCCTACATCCTGCTCGACCCATCCTGCAGCGGCTCAGGTAACACGGGGGGCTTTGGCCGCCCACCCCTGGGTGGGCTGTGGGCGCGCAGGCCCCAGGCGATGGCTGCTCTCCCCGCAGGGATGGTGAACCGGGTGCCGATGGCAGAGGCTGCCCCAAGTGCCGAGCGGCTGCAGGCGCTGGCCGGCTTCCAGCGCAAGGTGCTGAGCCATGCACTGAGCTTCCCGGCTCTGCAGCGCTTGGTCTACTCCACCTGCTCTCTGCACCAAGAGGAGAACGAGGACGTGGTGGGGGCTGTGCTGCAGGAGTGCAGCTCGGCCTTCAGGTGTGTCTGGTGGTGGGGGGATGCAGAGCAGGCGCTGCGGGGCCTGGCCCTGACCCTCGTCCCATGCTGCAGGCTGGTGGACGCCTTCCCTTGCTGGCCCTGCCGAGGACTCGCTGCCTTCCCCGGGGCAGAGAGCTGCCTCCGTGCCTCCGCTGCCGACACCCTCACCCACGGCTTCTTTGTGGCTGTCCTGGAGCGGCGCAGGGATGGGCCTGCGGCCTTGAGGTGAGAGCGGGCCCGGGAGCTCTGTGGCCTCCAGCAGCTCCTGGGGGTCTGGGGACAGGCTCGGGCTGGTGGCACACATAGGCTGAGGGTGCTGCTGCGTTCCTGGCATGGGGAGGAGGAGGGAAGATGGAGGGGTCCCAGGGCAGCACGAGGAGAGGGCAGGAGACACTGTGCTGTGTTGAGTGGGTCTCAGGCCCTTTGCTCTTCTCCACAGCTCCCTGCCTGCGGCTGCTGCTGACAGCCCGCAGCACGGCAAGGGAACAGAGCCAGGAGCAGCTCCCAAGAAGAGGAAGAGGAAAAAGCAGCGGGTAAAGGAGGGAAACAACCGTTTTAGGATGCACAGTGCCCAGCCGGGGCTGGTGGGGATTGTCACCCTGCTGCCTGCCTGAGCTGTGGCACAGCCTCCCATCATGGGTAAACTCAGCTGGTTAAGGGTGTCTTTTACCATGTTTTGTTACAGAAACCC